TTTTTTTTTTTTTTTTTTTTATAAACACAAAAAAAGCCTCCATTGAAAGAGTTGTCAGGAATAACAACGCTAGAAAAATGTTAGTAAGGAGGTTGATCTAAGAAAATTATCTATGTGCCGTCGATTAATTCAGCAATCAAAACCCAAAACAACATGACTGAAATTCCATTTACAGTGTTTTACTGTCAGTTTTATTGTCATTACACAGTCACAGGTATATGGAGCTAGATCGTTCTCAGTTTTCACTAATGCTCATATGTGATTCATGCATGCACAGGACAAGATTCACCAAATTATTTCTGGTCCTTAAACAATTATAAATTAAATTAAAAAGTACCATTGGTCTTTAAACTTCACTGTATTTGTGTGTGGATATTTCAGACTCCCCTGATGTGCCTTGATACACAAATACATTTTATTAAACATCAAGAGAATCTCAAAAATCCACAGTGTTGCATGTTTTGTTTTTAATGGCATCCTGTCGTCTCTCACCTTCTCCATTGCTCATCTTCTCTCCTATATCTCCTCTAAATTCTGCTCAGGACTGTCCTGACTCTTCTTCCCTCCGTCTGTTCTGTTCTTTCCTCAGTGACCTTCTCAACCATCTTGTCATCTCTCTCTTTTTCTCTCCCTCTCTTCTGCCTCCGCTCTCTGGCCGGCAGCTGGTTGATGGGGAGGAATTCGAATGTCAGCCGGGACAGTGGTCATCGCAGGAGGAATTCTGGCTACAGTCATCCTATTGACCATCGTCGCTGTGTTGTGTTTATGTAGGTTGCAGGTATGTCATTCTAAGGAGCTAACATAGCATCACAGTGTTACTGTTATACCCTGAAAAAACCCTTCAGTTCATTTCCTGCAGAATCTCCTCTCACTAAAAAAGTAGGATCTGAGCAGAACAAAGCTGATTTGTGTTGATTTGGACTTTACATATCTTTACAACTTTGGAAAAGGGAAAAAAAATCCTTAATTTAGTAATCTCAGATTTCAAAGGGTTCATGATTCCTCTCTAAAGCCACTTCTGACTAAAATCAGCAGGCTGACCCGCTAACAATCAGCATTTGGCATAAAAAGCTGGTCTAACCCCTGATGTCACCATGTGACAGAAATCAGGAAAGTAAACAATGGAGAGCAACATGTAAGGAAGCCAGGGCGTAGTCAGTGAGGTTTATTGTTTCTCTCTATTATCTGTCTGGTCACTAGATGAGCAGATATATCCCATAATGCTTTGCGAGGAGAGCTCTGCCCAAAAAGCATTATGGGATTTGTTGTCACAGCGACAGATAAGAAAGGCAGTGTCACATGACCAACGGGGAGTGAATAGGAGTGATTATCTGTCTGTCAGTTAACTGAGTTCACTATAATTCAATTCAATCTGTTTCTATAGCAACAATTCACATCACGTCATCTCTGGTCACTTTCCAGTTCACCAGATCATCCAGTCAGATTGATTAAAAGTTTTCTATCTAAGGAAAACCAGCTGATTGCATCGACTCTTCA